TTTAACTCTATTCATTCCCCACAATGCATGGTATCTTTTCAAGACCTTTGCAATTTAACAGAAATTASAGTCAACTCTCTTGTAAACAACCACCTCACGATCAGGAAAACTAAAAGTGGTCGCTTATGAAAGACAGTCACTTACGAGAGAATTTTTTACAGAGTTTATATGGAAAACAATTATAACGGGAAGTTTAAAAGGTGGTCGCTTACGGGAGATGGTCGCTTATGAGAGTGGTCGTTCAAAGGGAGTCAACTGTATTGTGATTAATAAATTATTACACAGGTTATCAAAAACAACTTTTGTGTATGAGACAATATTCTAGTACTAGATGTAACTTGAAAATCTGACAAACCTTTAAACTTGATCCCAGACATAGAATACAATCACTTTTTTTAGCTTCATCAATGGCAGCTTGCCAGTTCAGAGGCTGCTCTAGACAACCCTTCTCACCAAAATGTACTATTGTGTCCCTTAATGGTGARCCGCACTCATAACAGTTACGRCCTGTCTGATGCCGTCTGAGAGAAGTCTTTTCTGTTACATCAAACAGTCTAAAGTAAAGTCTCTCATCTTCGCATTCCGTGCAAACCTATAATTAAAAAAAAACAATATTGTTGAAGCTGTTATGCACCATTTAATTTTTTTACTTGTGAATTAATCAAAAGATTGAGGACTTAAGCTACTCAATTGCAAATACTGGATACTTTTAGCAAATATGCCTGATATTTATTAAAACCTACACAAAAGGTAACCATGAATGGATGAAATAATGGCATCATTTCAGTGCTACTGGCAAAAACCTTGCCGTTACTCTGAGATTCAGATATACACCTATATCTATTATGTGTGACATTAAGTTATCCAATCTTCTACACAGATATGTGGTATATCTGAAAGGTCTTACACTAGTAGCCGTGATGGTGGTCTGAACCTTGGCAGGGGACATTAAGATATTAAATGTTTTGTCAATAAACATTCTCCAGGTTTTCTAAACAGTCTACTTGGAATGGGAAAACCCAGACAAACTCAAGTCTTGGAATCTGAATTAATAAATTTACCATTTCTTCAAATCTGGTTTTAAGAAAGCTTTGAGTTTATATTTATTTATCATTTTAACACCACAAATGCGTTGTGCACATCAATTCACCTCTGTAAACATGTTTCCATGAACTTCAGATATTGCAGAACTCGGTAAACCACTTCGTATGTGGAGTCCATCACAATTTTGAGATACWAGATGYTGAATGTATCCTCCGTTGTATAGTTTTGTTAAACTCATGTGGGACAGTGTTGGCTCTGCATCACACAAATTATAAGACCTTGAAAGAAGAAGAGGAAAATTAATTGCAGTAACAGTCAGTATAGTTAGTTTAGAATATTACCATTGGGACAAACAGGCCAAGAGATAACAGGACCAAGGGTGGATCCAGGGAKGGGCAAAGGGGGGCTATAGCCCCTCCTTTGAGATAAAAGGTAAACTGTTTTTATTTTATAACAAAGAAAAACCATTTAGCCMCCCTTTAAAATTTCAGCTGGATCTGCCATTGAGCATAGGGGCAGACAAACAAAATACAATAGTCCATTTATGAAGACCAGTGAACCAGTCACTTAGTGCTGAACTGCTGGAGTTTGTAACATCCTTCTTGCTCTACACCCTCCCCCTTCACGCCTCCCTCAATGTGCAGGCATCCYGGGATCAAGGCTAAAATTCAGGTTACTGAGTTAGGTGTTGGTAGCTTATAGATTGATCCCACAATGTAGGGTTTAAGGATCTTATCTAAGTGAATAGATATTATACTACATGTATATAACAATTTTCAGGTGGAGAAACAAAGACAGCATTATCTCCTCCAATGTTTTAAGACTATCTGTAACTTATAGCACAAAAGACAACTGTCTTTATATATCTACAGGTCTTCCAACACTAGTATGATCACTTTCATAATTCCTGTAGCCATTTGGCCTATTTTTTTCATCTAAATCATTGGTACWTTGGCAAGAAAGAAGAAATTGCCCATGAAAGGACACAAAGAAAATCTTTAAAATAGACAAATATGCGTGTGATAATTAATTAATGATGATTTTAAGTCACTGACTGCTTCTCTACATACCCTAACTTCTCCCCTTTTGACAAGCGCGTCCAAATCCCGTTTGGCCCCCTAGCAAAAAAACAAAAACATTTTAAAAACCGTCATAGAATTAACTAGTATTAAAACGCACAAATTAATATAAAACCACGAAAATGGTGCACGTACTGGTCGTCACCAGTCCGTAAACAAGCTCTCGTGTACAAGAAATTTAGTTATGCCATAAAGATAGAAATTTAAGTAATAATATCGACTAAACGTGAAACTTTCTCACCTATAGTCTGGAATTCGAGCAGCCTGGGATGGAATAAAAATAGATAATTTGAGAAATCAGCGAATAAAAAGTTCCCCGATAAATAAATTCAATCGGATTGCTTACGGTACTAATTCCCGCGCCGGTGTAAACGACCAAGGATTTCGCTTGGCGGACGGCTTCCACTAAAACGTTTACCTTGTCTTCTAAGACYCCTACAGGGTCTAATATCTGCAAGAATATTTGTGGATTAGTTAAAAATCCARCCTCTTTCATGGCTTGCTATCTTAAGTAAAACTTCAAGACGTTYTAGTGACTACCTCTTCAACTTTTCTCTTTGCTTTGGCTTGCTTCCGGGCGCGATCTTCAACTTGCATAACGAGACTCTCTAGTTCCTTTAGAATGCTTCTGTCTTTCTCCGACCTGTCCGAGGGATCTTTCTTTAGGATTTGCTTTATTAGTTTGCAGTTGTCCTTGTCTTCTAAGTTGGCTAAAAACTGTTCTCTCCAAGCAATCTTCTTTCTCTCGCGTAAACTTTCTACAGCCATCTTGGATGTTTTCATAAACACTTCAGGGTCGCAAAGGTTAGTGGGTACAAATACGTGGAGTCGACATCACGACTTCCGGTTGGCGCTCGATCAAGCATTTTAYATACCAGCAGACAGTGATCGATCAAGCCTTCAGGATCTTTCCGTGAAAATAATCCAAACAGCAAAATAATTCCTTTTTCAATCTATGATATACACTATGCAAGAATGGTACCTCCATTTTAGAATAATCCTGATTTTCTTATACATCATGAAATAGGATCGCAGTCTGCCATACTGATTTTGGCACAGAATCAATATTTTAAGCACTTACTCTTATCTAACTTTTCAATAAACCTAGAATTCTAGATCACTCTTTTAGGCTGATCAAGGATTTTAGCCGCTTGGGGACCTTAACACAAATGTTTGCATTTTATGATGGCCGAGATAACTGTGTGACGTCAGATGATGTTGATGCCATTTCAATTCGAGATGGTCTCAATCAGTGAACGTTTTGACAGTTGATCCTTAAAGTTCAGCATTTTTCCGGTTCTAAATGTTACTAGCGTTTCGATATAAACATGCCAACAGTCAACAGATGAAGACTGACTGGGTGTGGTTTTGGGCCTTGGGTCTAGAGCGGCATTATAGGGCGGGGAACTGCTTTAGGGTCGATCATCGCGTTTTACACGTCACTGACAACTAGTGCACAACTAATGTAAAATCTACTCAGTCATTGTAATAGAAGTATTAGATACGATAACAGTACATGTGATTACTGAATTTTATAAATACACTGAAAACTTACATGTGACGACACGACCATAACCGCGGGCATTCAGTCGTCTTTTTTTCTTTCTTTCTTTTTTTAAGTTTTAAGAGCTATTCAGAATTTCACTAGCCGAGTTTAAAGTTAACATGTCTCAAACTTTTCCGTATTTCTAAATTATATAAGTCCTTGTGCTTGTGCCATGGTTTATAATGAAATTACGTTATCATTAATTAGTATTGTAAATTATTTTGAGTGAAACACTACTAACTGCTCCTTTTGTATTCAGAATTAAGCCTGAAAGTGATCTATAAACAGTAAAATTCAAGGTGTTTGTATTCATTACTTTTGGTGTTCGTTCCTTTTATCATTGTGCAAAGATGCAGTAGAATCATCAGTGTAATGTGCTTAATGTCCATTGTGCGAGATCGGTATGTATATGTATGTAGCTGACCATGTTATCAATGTTGCGCAGTTCCAACAATGATTGAAAATCATTCGCAATATCCGTCCATGAATCGGTYATTAAAGTGCAAGTTTCAACCCAATGTATCATTTCAATTGTCTTTTTTCAAGTTCTTYGATTGTCTAGTGAAAATAATCTTGTCCGACACGTCTTCAGCATCCATCGTCAAAATTTGTGCGAGCTCGGCAGCAGTTAACCATGGTCGTTCATCGTCGACAGAAGACACAGTAATATACTTGATGACAAGGTTTAGAGGCTGACAAGTACGACAAGCCTTTGGATCACTCGTGTCGACGTAGTCGATGAAATAGTCCTTTGTTACGCAGACTTCGCGTTCCAAGGGTTCCATGGTACAGTCAGCAGTGTGCTTTCTACGCAACCTGACGAACATGCAGGCAGAAACTCGTGGAAGGTTATCGGTTAACCTCAAAAACAGTGTCCAGTAACCTAGGTACCTGCTGTCTTAAGTAAATATTCTGTTTATTCCTTTGTGTGTTTTTTATTGGTTAAAGGGGTCTTGCTACCTGTTGTCTGGATTAAAGACACACCCACCGCAAATGACAAGTCGTCCACTTCCCAGTTCCTATTATATTATTATCAATTTATAGTATTTTAATAATAACATGCACAATTCAGGCTAACCCTATACCATAGTATGTTTCAAGCTGCTCTGTTAGAAAGCCCTAGAAATCATGGGAAACTAAGAGCACTGCGAACTCTCAGTGTTCGAGTTAACTGGATCAAGTGCATTTCAAACAGAAAATTCTAATACGCATATAGTAAATTGAAGTGCGACGTCCATATGTCACTGATCAGAGACTGCATGGATTCTATGTTTCTGAGAATTTTTCGGATCTAAAAGGTTGCTATATCTGCTTGGGGCGAACTCCAATTTCCAGAAACTGAAATACTCGTCTTTAACACTTACTAGTATTATCAGAATCGATTATAGCCAGGGAACCTCGTATCGTAGTCAGTGAAAAAAGGCAAATTAATAAAATGCCATATAGGAGGGAGAAGAGACATCAAGAAATTTAAACACTGAAACAGGCGTAAAATGGAACGAGGTATAGAAATAAGAATGAAAATGCAAAATCAATCGTCATGACAACATAAAAGTTCTCTATAATTTATTAACAATAAAATTATGAATGGATAATGTTTATTAAAATCAATGCTAATATACAACATGAAATGTTATCTGGTTTTTCAATATTCAAGCATGTCACAAGGCATATTAACGTCGTTGCTCAACTTCTTTGACTTGTAGTGTTCTTTGTCCTCTAAAAAAACTCAAATTTATTTTAATGCAAATTGTATCTAATCATTCAACATTGCGGTTGAATATGTAAATGAGAATGACAATTGAAATAATGAAATAAAAAAGTCGTCAGAAGAWCGAAGGAGACTGAATGAGATGTCTCCGGCAAATTTGCACATAAAACGATTCTTAGCAGATCTGAAGAGATTAAATTATTTCAATAAACGGTTTTCCATGGAATTCTTGACATCTTCCATCTTCTTTGAAAGTGTCTTAAAATTAATCTTCTTTTCTTAGGCACATTTCTTGTTACAGCAAAAACCCCAAAGCATCACAAGGATGGTAATGGCGGCTCATTGTTCTCTTTATAACTTGAGTCCTTTCTATGTCTTTCATGAACTACAATCGGTAAAAACTTTGCCTTTTGTGAAATAACCACACTCCAAGCTCATAATGTCATAAGGCTTCATATATATATATTTTTAATAAATCAATCCTATCACGCGAGCCCACCGTTAATCGTTATGCACGGCCAGCGGTGGATACTCTGAGTCATCATCCAGTTTGAGATTTCCAGTCCTTTGCTGTTCGTTAATGGTCGTGGAGGGTGGGGGCGAGTTTTCAGTAAGTGCATTTCCAGTCGAGGTTGAGGGTTGAGAAGTCTTGACGGATGATTGTGAGGAGGTTGAGTCTTGTCTAACCCGTGATGTTGCACCTTCATTGGCAGCGGATTCTTCATCCTGAAAGGTTAGAAAAAGACTTCACTGAAACTTTCAAGACCAAAATAACAAGCTACAGAATTCGGCGCAGCCTTACAACATTAAATTTTTCGCTTTAGCGCAACAACTTACAATTGTCCTTTCTCCATCTTCGTGTCCAATCAACCTACAAATCCAATAGTAACACTCAATAACAATTCAAAGAGGTCCCCTGATGTCTGAACAAACTTACCTGTGTTGTTTCAACAGAGTACAGTCACCTCCCTCCTCGGGGTCCACGTTGTAAATGTACAGATACCCATCAGCACTTGCAACCAGAAGACGAGGTAATTTGCCAATACTGAAACGAGATTCAATTGCTGTTTTAAGTGACGATCTTACGGAAAAACCAAACTTAAAAGGAGTAACGAACGGTTCGAGCCAGTGGTACCGGATCCATTAACAAGTCATACTGGCGAGGCTTGAGAGAGAAAGAAATTTTTACAGGTTGTACTTTGCTGATGCTCAGCTTCAAAATGATTTTAATACTTTTGTTCTGCTGAAATTTGTGTTTAATATGAATAGTTGCAAATCCCATGGATTATGATACTAATATTCAAATACAACTGGCAGGTGTACCCTGGATGCAATAGTGTTATGCCGACGATTACTGTACAGCGGTTTCTTTGCAATGGAAATGTTTGATTCATATGAATTTATAGCAAATATTTTAAAAGGAAAGGGCAATATCAGTTGAATTCTACTATTAGATTATTAAAGAACAGTCTTTCCAAGGGGAGCCAGAGATACCGAAAAGTTTATAACAGTAAAAATGGTAGTTACTTACGTTGCAATAGCACAGACATTTCTAAGACCTACAGAAAAACAAAAAGGTTAGTGATAAGAATCAAAATAAATTTTCTGCCGCACATAACGATTACTATAAAACAATACTACACATATCCTGATAATGCACCTGACCCCAAACCAAAGGATAACGGCCTGGGGACGGGTTTGTCCTTTAGCGTTGCGTGACGACAAAGGGGCGGCTGATAAAGGAGGCTGCTGTACGTTGAATGACAACGGTGGTAACACGTTGATGGTGTAAAAGATGGACGAAAATTCAACCTGACTTATCCATTCATTCAATTAAACCAGTAGGAGAGTCTTTGACGAGCTTCGTTCATTATCAAGGCACAGTAGAAAGTGAAAAGAGCGCTTAAAAGAGTAAAGCGAAGCACTTGCTTACAGCTCGTAGTTAGTTCCTGACCTCTTTCGAGATCAATCTCACCAGCATGCTAAAAGGAGCATGGCTAAGCCTCGTCTATTTACTGAATACTGTATAAGTAATTCGGGCAGCTAAATTTCACCTTATAAGGAAAGATGCATAGATTGTTATTGTCTTCGTTTTAGTTGTTATCGTTATTATGCTCGCTATTTCCTGCTCGTAGTGAGCTTGTATATTAAAAACAATTTTTTCCATTTTTTCAGGTAATCGAGGCGCCAAATATTTGATACAAATGAAAGACACTTGATTTGATAATTTTGTGACAGCAAGCAGCTCGCGCGGCTGAAGGTCAAGCTGTTTGTTATGCTTCAATAGTTTTTGGCGCCAAGTCAAAATCACGAAATTCTAGAGCCAAAGCTTCCGGTATTTATTGCGAAGATGTCGTATAGAAGTGAAACGTTATGTATTTTTAAGCATTAGGCGATTGCCTTTCGATTCATGTGGGTGGCTCCTATCTAAAAGAGCCGTTGTTTTGTAGCAAACAGTAAACTGTTTACTTGCTGCTGGTGTACTTGGTGACAGCCTTGGTGCCTTCACTGACGGCGTGCTTGGCCAATTCACCGGGTAGAAGAAGACGAACAGCGGTCTGGATCTCGCGAGATGTGATGGTTGACTTCTTGTTGTAGTGAGCRAGGCGGGAAGCTTCACCAGCGATGCGCTCGAAGACATCCTGAACAAAAGAGTTCATGATGGACATGGCTTTGCTGGAGATACCAGTGTCGGGATGGACCTGTTTCATGACTTTGTAGATGTAKATGGAGTAGGTTTCCTTCCTTCTTCGTGAYCTCTTCTTCTTGTCACCCGACTGTGCCTTCTTCACAGCCTTCTTTCCACCGGCGCTTTTCTTTCCTGGAGTAGCTGGCATCTTGATCAAGTTGATTTCGATACGAGATATGTTTGGTAARAGGAGGTGAGTTGTATTTATATCAGAASTCAAGCGGATTATGGATSAACGAGGTTTGAATTTGATTGGAGGGCATAAYATGTAAATGACTTGTATTGTAACACTAGATGTTGGGTCAAGTGGTGATTGGTGCATTTCGATCCTTTTGTTCTCCTTTTGCTAGTATAAAAGCCATGTAAGCTCATTCAAGCATTATAATASAGTTGTTGCACTCCGTGAAGAAACAATAATAAAYCTGAAAAGATGTCTGGCCGTGGAAAAGGTAAAGCTAAGGGYACYAAGTCCAAGACTCGATCATCCCGTGCWGGGCTTCAGTTCCCTGTCGGTCGTATCCATCGTCATCTCCGCAAAGGTAACTACGCTCAGCGAGTTGGTGCTGGTGCTCCAGTCTACTTGGCTGCTGTACTTGAGTACCTCAGTGCTGAAATCCTCGAGTTGGCCGGCAACGCTGCCCGAGACAACAAGAAAACCAGGATCATTCCCCGTCATTTGCAGTTGGCTGTTAGAAATGACGAAGAGTTGAACAAGCTTCTTGGTGGAGTCACCATTGCTCAAGGTGGYGTTCTTCCTAACATCCAAGCAGTTCTTCTGCCCAAAAAGGCCGAAAAGAAGTCGTCATAAAGCAGATTTATGCTGCGCMAACAAAACAACGGCTCTTTTAGGAGCCACCACATGAATCGAAAGTTCATGACCATGCTTTTTATTGAAGAAATATAAGAATTAGTCTAATAAAGATAACGAAATGTTACACTCAGACAACCATTAAACTTGTGACCGAGCATACATAATGACACAAGCACGAGATCCTTGTGGGTTTATAATGATTATTAGAAAGCAAAAGACAGGCAAATGAATCAGTGCAAGTTTGCATTTTTCTCAAAAATTTCCTTAAGAGTGAACCATATAAAGTAGGGATAATTTCAGAGCAACATTTGAAAATTTGGCTCCAAAGAGACAATAGTATTTTAGAACAAGCCTTCAACGAACCGCAAAGGAAACGTTATTGTTGTTATATGTTAATTAATGAGGTGACATGACACCGTGATCCGCTTATTGACGACAATGTTTAACATGGCCAAGTTTAATGCTTATTTTCTCAGCTGTAAATGCTGATATAACCTTACAATTGAACAAACTGAAAGATTGCGAGTACTTGCACATACAGTAAGAATACATGGACAATTTCGTGCGAGAATTTTACCATAATTTTACACAGAAGAGTATAGAGCTTGCGATTTGAGTTTTTGACCTCCAGCGGGTTATAAAAGTCAACCAATCAGAGAAAATATAGCGTAATTTTGGGCCAATCAAAAAGCGACCTTCTTTATCCAATGGCCTTTTTGCGCGCCAAAATTGAGTATAAGTTAGTTTGTGTGCGCGCCAACGATATAACGATTCAAAGTTTCAGACTAGATCAAAATGGCTCGTACTAAACAAACTGCTCGTAAATCAACTGGAGGAAAAGCTCCAAGAAARCAACTCGCCACCAAGGCAGCACGTAAAAGTGCCCCAGCAACTGGTGGAGTMAAGAARCCACATCGTTACAGGCCAGGAACAGTCGCACTTCGTGAGATCCGTCGTTACCAGAAGTCAACAGAATTGTTGATCCGCAAGCTTCCCTTTCAGCGTCTTGTCCGCGAAATTGCTCAGGACTTCAAAACTGACCTTCGCTTCCAAAGTTCAGCTGTCATGGCTCTTCAAGAGGCTAGCGAGGCTTACTTGGTTGGTCTGTTCGAGGACACCAACTTGTGCGCCATCCATGCCAAGAGAGTCACCATCATGCCCAAGGACATTCAGCTTGCYCGCCGAATCCGCGGCGAGAGAGCTTAAACTACTGGTTCTCCATTAACCCGAATCAACGGCTCTTTTAGGAGCCAACACATGCTTAAAAGCAGTGACATAATGCTTATACATTATTGTAGTGGAGAGTTATGAAATGAAAAATTGATTTATAGGGAAAAAAGTGGACTCACCAGCCACAGGAAGTCTAACATTRGCAAATGCTCTGCCTTGGTTGAAAACTTCTGTTACCTGGAAAAGTCAGGAACACAAAGAATAAATTGAGCTAATCTTACTAGTGGCATATTATATATCAATATAACTGAATTCTACCTGGGATGGTAGGTAGTTCGTGGGTGATAATGCTTTACCAAAGTA